ACACCTTTCGAGTCACCAGCACACTCCGTCCCAGATTCTATCAGGAAAGATATCCTTGACGGGAAGGATGTGTGTCTGGTGTCTTTACTCATAGCCTCTCAGGATGTACTCGAGAACAAGGCATACAATTATGGTGACATCTCTGTTGTGCTTAAAACGAGGGATCCCAGGCTTAATAAAAATTGTCTATCCCACAGTTTGTGATAGCTTTCGGGATATACCGCGACGTCATTTGCACGGTGTATCCCCATAGGAGAGAAGAGCTAGATCTCTATCTCCACAAGGTAGTGGATCTAGGCATCAAGTACGGGGGCTCTTCCTTCTATGACTACCACAAGTCAGTCTCAGCGAAGGCGGCGACCCATCTCAAACAGTTCAACATTAGAATGAACTGGGGTCAGATGGACACTGAACTTTTCTGTCGCCACTTCGCCGGACTCAGGCCCCCGGCTTGTGCCATCTGTAATTCCACATCCCACATGGCGGACTTATGTCCCGTCGAACCAGATCCCACCACCTCCACTCTCACCCCTCACCCCACGTTCACACCTCACTCCTCTTTTACCCCTCACAAGCCAGCGGGTGGTCTCCGGGATAAGCTGGGAAGGCCCATCTCCTTTTTAGGTAAAGCACAGGTGTGCAATAATTTCAACGCAGGCTCCTGCAGTTTCAGCGCCTGTAGACTATTGCACATCTGCTCCATATGTTTCAGGGCACATACCAAGACCATGTGTCCAGCCAGGTTGTCACCAAACAAATGACTAACCGACATTAATATCGACAACCTGGTTTTTTATCTAAGGTGTCACCCCAGCAGGCACTTAGTGGATTTTCTCACCACAGGTTTTTCACAAGGGGTTCACACAGGCATAATAGCCATTCCCCCAGGTACACTAGAATGTCCTAATCTCCAGTCTGCACGTTTAGACCCAGTCGCTGTAGACACTCTCATTTCCACAGAAACCACAAACGGTTTCATGATCGGTCCTTTCACCTCTTCACCGTTTTCCTCCTGGCGCACTAACCCTATTGGTATTGCTATTCACAAATATTCTAATAAAAAGCGTCTCATTATCGATTTATCGGCACCGCACTCCTCTTTTGTTCCAAGCATAAACGCACTCATTCCAGCAGACGAATTCTCTCTGCAGTACGTCACCATCGACGACACCATACAGTCCATCATGACATCTGGTAATCGACCCTGGCTCAGCAAAACAGACATCACTAACGCCTTTAAATTACTGCCCATACACCCCTCACTCTGGCACTTACACGGTGTTAAATGGCGAGGGTATTATTACTTCTCAACACGACTCACTTTTGGTTCCCGAATGTCACGGTTCTCACCTGATAGACAGACGGCAAGACGTGGTCGCTCTTGGAGTTCCCAACAGGGGACTTGAACCGGGGATCTTCTCAGTCCTGGTCCTGCTTTCTACCTCTGAGCCACAGCAGCTATTTACAGTGAAGATTGATTCCAATCCTGTTCATCCTGACATGGCTACTACTCTGGGGGCTGCACCTTGACTTGGCTGTGTTTCACCTGACTCTGATCAGTCATCAGCAGGGTATATAAACCCAGCCTCGCCCTGTGCTCAGTGTCAAGTCCTTGATCCTGTTTGTTCCAGTGTTCCTGTTTCATCGCTTCGCATTATTGACTCCGGCTTCCTGACTCGTTTATTCTGACTTCTGGCATCCCTTGACTTCGGCTACTCCTCGTTGTTCCTGTCCTCTGGCATCCTTTGACCTCGGCTATCCCTCGACCATCCTGCTGGTTCAGTCCTTGCCTGTCCTGCGCATTGGTACTGCATCCTGCACAGCCCCCGTGCACAGACCCACAGGCCAGGTGAATTCTTACCTGACCACCTCGGCCTGTGGCTATCTGCAAGGGTGAGCATCATATCTGCGCTACAGACTCCCAACTCAGGTAAGACCCTGACACCGAAGCAGCCCCAAACTTTTCGACATTTTCGCTGAGTCACTATGCTGGCTGCTTCTGAATGTCATCAGGTGTCACTCCGTTATTCACTATCTAGATGACTTTCTACTGATAGAGCCAGGGTCATCAACACCCACAGCAATCAATAGTACTACCGGACTTTTTTCCACACTTGGAGTCCCTTTGTCCCCAGCCAAAACTATAGGACCCACCACAAAGTTGACCTTTTTAGGCATAGAGCTCGATTCTGTCAAACTCAGAGCTAGCCTTCCACACGACAAACTTTCACGATTGAGAGGGGAGATAGACACGTTCCTGCGGAATGACGTTTGCACCAGGAGAGAACTTCAGTCCCTTCTTGGATCTCTGAACTTCGCCATGCGCATCATTCCGCAGGGAAGGTCTTTTATTTCCAGACTTCTTTGCCTGCTCCATGGAGTCCCGGACTCCGGCACAGTTTCTTTGGACCCCCACGCCAAGGCTGACTTAGCTATGTGGGGGAAGTTTTTGAAAGACTGGAATGGTATCTCCATGTTTATCCCCCCTCTCTCCACCTCTTCACCCATCATCCACACAGACGCAGCAGCCAACACCGGTTTCGCAGCCATTTTCGGGAACCACTGGTTTAGGGGCCACTGGCCCACTGAGACGGATGCCTTGCCAGGATTCAGGGAAACCTCAACCCTATTTGAAATTTACCCCATTGTGGCGGCCGCACACACCTGGGGTCATCTCTGGTCCGGCAAGGCAGTAAAATGCTACTCAGACAACTCGGCAGCTTGCGATATTATTAACAAAGGGCGCTCATCATCCCTAACCATCATGCGGCTGATTCGCAAGTTGACCTGGCTGGCAGCATCCAATCAGTTTCACTTAGTATGTTCTCATATCCCGGGTATTCACAACACCGCCGCTGACGCTCTTTCTCGTTCTCGATTCCAGGCATTTTCTCAGGCACTCCCAGCAGCTCACCATCAGCCATCCAGGACACCACGGTTTCACGAACTAATATTGGATTAAGCACACTCTTGCTTCACGCTAGATCACTCACTCACCAAGCATTATCACCCAACACTGCTATCACTTACAATAGGGCACTTAACATATTTAACAAATTCACTGCAGAATTCGGGCTACAAGGTGACTTTTCTATCCAAACCATGGTGTCTTTTGCCTCTTTCTGCCACCTACACCTTAATCTGTCACACAACACCATTAAACTTTACCTCACCGGGGTTCAGCACCACAGCCTCACCAATTTTCCTAACAGCACCCCCTTTTTGTCTTCATACCCCATAAAAAAGGTCTTGAAAGGCATATCTAAGGTTTCACCACCACTCGCAAGCACTAGATTACCCATAGACGGGCCTATCTTCAGGTCTCTTAGCAATCTCCTTGACACAGCCCCATTTGATAGCTACACCAATACGGTGATAAAATCTGCCATATATCTCGCTTTCTACGGTTTTCTCAGACCTAGAGAGTTCACAGTGATTTGTCAAGGAGATATCGCACAATGCCTTAAAACTTCACACCTCACCAAGGTAGAGGATCACTACCTCCTCTCTATCCCTACCACTAAAACCAACCGGTCAATACATCCTACAATAATTCCTCTCTTCCCTACTGATAATGCCTGGTGTCCGGTGAAAGTTCTCGACCAACTACGGTCTACTTTTCGCACTCACCTGCCAGACTCTCCGCTCTTAACATTACAAGGGCACCCGCTTACCACGGCAAAATTGATGTCACATGTCAGAACCCTGTTATCTAAGCTCGGACACAATCCGGCTGCATTCTCCGGGCACTCCTTCCGCATAGGAGCCGCCTCAGCAGCCTCAAGCACAAACGCACCGGTCCACATCATCAAAAGGCTCGGGCGATGGAAATCCTCCATATATAACGCATATATTCCGCAACCAGAGAAAGAGCTTCGCCAAGCTTTCAGAAACTTGGTCTTGTAAAATGCAATAAAGTGTGTATTTTCTCGAATTTATCTTTTTGCCCTCTTTTATTTACAGGCCCACTCGTACGTTGGTTTCGGCACACCACAACCAACTTTGCTCACAGTTACTATCCATCACGTATTTAAATTCCGAGCACAAGTAGAAAGGCCATTAGGCCTGAATTTGTGGGAGGAGTAAGTCCCCTACTTAAGCTCCCAGCCCCTACTCACCGCTGCCGCTCAGCTGATTGTCCCCACCCACCTACACCCTGTTTTAACTACATTATCCTTGGTGGGCCCTCTTTTATTTACAGGCCCACTCGTACGTTGGTTTCGGCACACCACAACCAACTTTGCTCACAGTTACTATCCATCACGTATTTAAATTCCGAGCACAAATATATATATATATATGATTGTGTGTGTCTTACTGTTGTGGCACAGCCAGGGCATTTTATTCAAATTAGTTTAACCTCAAAGGTGCTGTATGTACAGCAAAGAAGGAATTTGCAGGCATGTGTGCAGTCGCATGGGATCTCTCTGCAGATTCCCGAATGGACGTATCTTTATGGGTAAAGACGCCATCCTGGCCATGAAAGTGCCGTGAATATCGGTTTTATCGTTGCAATGATGCTTTAAATGGTTTCTCCATGCAGTGCAATAAACCAGGGTTCTCAGACTCTGGGTATATTGCTGTGTAATCTGATGTGGAGGTGTCATAGTGAGTTAGTGCTGACATGTCTGATGAAAGTAATGTCTGGCTGGATTAGATTTGCAGATGGCTGTGAGTGCTTTTTGTGGCAGTAATAGTGCATTATATTAAACATATACCTTTTATCAGTCCTCATTAAAGGGACTGACTAAAACTATTGCACGGGGTGAATAAAATGACCATCTCTGCAACCAGGATTAGTAAATACCTAGATAAATTAAAATGTCAGTAGCAGCCTGAAACTTGCTCCCAAAACTCTAAGCCAGCCTCTAGACTACAGCGAGGAATGTTGCAGTTCAGGACGACTTAGAAAGGGACCAATTAGAGAGTTTTATATTACAGGTAAATAAACGTGTGACCAGGATCCTAATGAAATAACTTTCATTTTTCTCTTTCAGAAATACCATTTGCTGTTCGGAGGGTGATCGTAATTCGAAGGTGCCTGGCTTATGATGTCAAGAACTGCCTCTGGCTTCATCCTGAGCTCTATCAAAAACAGCTTTACGTTGGTCCAGAGCGAAAGACGCTGGTATTCAAAATGTGTCCTTACCAGGAACTCAATAAGATTTCCCAGATATCCGGGTAAAAGCCTCACCCGAAGCAGTTTGTGTTACCCAATTTATCAGATATCCAAATCCTTGAGTCACACATCAGCTGAAGAAGATGTCAACTTCCAGGTACAGCCAAACCAGATTAATTACATCCTCAGAGCCAACGAGTTGTCCCACAAGGTCCCAGATTTCGATGGAAAGAACCGAAGTACCATCTTAAAATTTGACAGCAACCTGTTGGCGTCTAATTCACCATGTGAGGACCGAAGAAGCGCAGCGACGTGCCTACAGACCAAAGGTCACATGTTTGGGGTGTTTGATGGACATGCAGGTTCAGCCTGTGCTCAGTCAATAAGCGAACGCTTGTTTTATTACATAGCAGTCTCTCTGATGTCACAAGAAACTTTAGAGGAGATCGAATTTGCCAGAGAACACATGAAACCTGTCTTGCCAATCCTAAAATGGCACAAGCATAAAAATGATTATGTGTACAAGGAAGTAGCCTCGCTTTATGTGGATCATCTACGGGTATACTGGCAAGAATTGCTCCAGCACGATAACGAATCTGGCATGAAGGTTGCCGATGCAATGTCTTATGCTTTTCAGAGACTGGATACCGATATTTCATTGGCAGCCCAGGTGCCAACTGAGGACGAGCTGGTCAGGAACCTCATGTTACAGATTGCATTTTCAGGCTCAACGGCTTGCATATCACACATCGACGGGATTAACTTGACCATTGCCAACACTGGGGATAGTCGTGCAATCATGGGTGTTCAAGATGAAAATGGGAACTGGTCTACTCTTCCTCTAACTGCCGAGCACAATGCGTTTAATAACGCAGAGCTACAGAGAGTAAAATCTGAACACCCTCCATCTGAAGGCGAGACGGTCGTAACAGAGGACAGACTGCTGGGGATTCTCATGCCCCTTCGAGCATTCGGAGATGTCCGATTTAAATGGAGTCAGGATTTACAGAAAAGTGTTTTGCATAATACCTGTGGCTCTGAACCTTTAAACATCTATCAGTATTCCCCGTCAAATTATCATACCCCTCCCTATTTAACTGCTGCACCTGAGGTTACTTCTCATAAGCTGACACCTCAGGATAAATTCCTTATCATGGCCACTGATGGACTCTGGGACATGTTGGAGGACCAGGAAATGGTGAAGCTTGTCGCTGAACACCTCTCAGAAGACAGTTTGCAGGAACCACATGTTTCTGTAGAGAAACGCAGTTTAGGATACATGCACAATCTTCTCCTAAAGCGACGAGCTAGAGGTTTTCACATGCAGGACCAGAATGTCGCCACACATCTGATTAGGCACGCCATTGGCAGTAACGAGCATGGCGAACTTGAACAGGAGAAACTGGTGGCTATGCTAACCTTGCCAGAGGATTTATCCAGAATGTACAGAGATGACATTACAGTAACTGTCATCTTTTTTAACTCTAACGCTATCGAAGCACACTATAAGGAGAATGAAAATAGATAAGCCTTCCTCGGATTGCTAGATTATAAGCTCTTGCAACAAGAGCCCATAGTTCTTTCTGTTAAAGTTGTAATGTCTTGCAGACTTATTTGTTACCAGTTTTTGTGGAAATATTCTTTAATTTGTTGTCTACACAACATTGTATCTACCTGAGGCCTTCTTAAACTCCATTGTTCTAATCTCTACCACTTATGCTTTAAAAAACAGCACTGTCCTGTCACTGTCTGGGGACTTTGCAGAATTTGCAAAGACCCCCAATGGTGACATCGCTGCTGGTGATCCAGTGGCTGGGGGGGAAGGTAAAGGTTATATTTACTTACCTGAACCTGTTCCTCGCGGACACTTCCATTTTGTTCCAGCTAGTCTCTTCAACTGAAGCACCAGAAGCCAATATGACTGCTGTACTTTCGCGCAAGCGCGATTTTACAGCATTGAAGATTCAATCGCCTGCTGTCGGGATTGACACTAACTCAGTGGTCCCCAACCCATTCTTCATGGACCACCAACAGTCCAGGTTTTGTCAGTATCTCCATTGGAATAAAATAGGAAAATACATAAGTCCTAGACTGTTGGTGGTCCATGAGGACTGGGTTGGGGACCACTGCGTGACTCTGCCAGGAGTCTAGGAAAGTCACGCAGAGGAAATATACAAACACAAAGTAGTCCCTGTATATCTCTTCACTGGGTTGGAATTTCCAACAGTAATATAGAGTATTTTCATAAAGATTCTATCATTATGAAATACACATTTTTCAGGAGAGGGAGACATTACTGCTTTAAAGCACTTTCATGCATCTTCAACTCTCTCTCTCTCTCTCTATATATGTATTTATATATAAATAAAAAGCATGTGGAGTAGGAGGATTCTTTTTATATTATACAATACAATGTCGCCATCTGAAGTTAAATTTCAGTACATGGTGCCCTCTAGTGGACAACACATTATCTGTTGAGAAAAAAAAAATTATTGCTAAAATATTAGCATTTTATAAGTGCCAACTTAATCCACATTATTGCAATAGGGCACAATAAAAATAAATCTAATGAAAAATGTAGGAAATATTGAAAATGTAGGAACAAACATTTTACAAATTGTCCAATGTATTTAAAAACACAAGTTGAATAATAAGATCCCTATAAACAGATAATGTTCTATAGATTTTAGCAGTCAGATGGAAATGTTGTACAATGTAATCTGACATTTCTTACACAGCTATGCATTAAAATGTGAATTGTTCAGAATTCTAAGTGAATTTATCATTTTAGGGTAAAACAGTTAAACGGAGTATTAAACCTCTCAATGTGTTTCTAAGAGAGATTGATGAGCAAACTATGGTCATACAAATGATCCTATCAGATGTTAAAAAGAAATTTGAAAAATCTGGATTTAGTGAATAAAACTCAATATATTTAAATATTTGCTTAGATGATAATGCATCATGGAATTACATAGAGAAAAAAGAATCCTATGTACTATAAAAATAAAAACCATTCCTTGATTATTGGTTGTTTGATCACGACTAAATGAAATTGGAGCTAAATATTTGAATTTTTGTGTATTTGATAGATATAAATGATATATTTCAAAACTCTGTGACTGGTTTGAAAGTGGTCTATCATTTGCCATGGTACACAGAATGCAGTCTCCCAGCTGACCATCCCCCCAGCCAATCAGAAGGTGTTCAAATGGGCGTTTTTACTTATTGCCCCTGCAGTGAGAGATGCTAGTTTGCAGATGAAATCAATAAATTTGTTTTGTTTGAGCAGAACCCTCTTCACCTCGTTTACATTACATTCATTTGTCTGCTACTTGCAGTTTTATTAAAAAAAATCATAAAACACTGCAGAATATATTGCTGGTATATAAATAATATTCAAATTCTTGTTAAGATCTTCATCAGTTAAAAATGAATTGTTGAGGGTTGAATGAAGTGTTGAAAACATGCCTTATGGTTTTAGAACCTTAATCCTATTAAAACTGACACTAATTATGCTCTAACAGAAGAGCAGGAACAATTGTCTGCACGTTGCACTAGCAGAATGTTTAGCAAATTTGATACATTTTAGGGGATAATTAAAACTAAATATATTGCTCTTTCCCTCCTTGCTAAAGAGTGATTGGCAGGGAGACCAGGAGAACCTCCTATGGTCGTACCTCCTGGTTTTCATCCCAGCGTCTGTAGTACATGGGCTGTAGCTGCTGTGACATTCTGTTGGAAAACAAGTCTCACGATTGTCAGAACAGCGATTATGTCACACTGTTCTGACGTCGATGTGCTAAAATATGACGGCAGGGTATCGGCATAATTAAGGAAGGGGCAAATGTGTTACAAGTTAGCAGGACATCCAAAGAGCTGGCGTAGATCTAGCGAATCTCTTGTGACAAACTCACTTTAAGCAAACTAAAAAATTTTTAAAATTGTGGCTTGCTAATTCTTGTACAAGTTAAAGAAAACCAATCGAGTGACGTGTTTAATCTGTTAAAGGCAGAGTTTTATACAGAACGTGTTTACTGTGATACTAAGGGAATCGAATTACCATATCATTACTTTTAACAATACTTTGTGCATTTTATGTGTTTTATTTAATGTTGTCTGTTAGGTACTGGCTAACTTGAAAAGTATGACAAGAGTGTTAAAAATATAAATAATACCCTTTAATAGTTCTAACATGTATTTTTTTTATGCATTTGTATCTATTCACTTTTATTGAGTTAAAGGTTTGTTGTTGTTTTTTTGTTACCAATTGTTTTGAAATTGTCCATACTATTTATAAGAGAATAAAACTAACCATTAAAAACACTCTTTTTGTTTTTTTCCTGAATTGAAATCATTGTTGTACTATAATTTTCTGACACAGAATTTTACTTTGTTCTGACACCTTTGTAGATAGAAACACTGCTCTACAGAGCTTGCAATCGAATCTCGTTCCTGGATGCTCAGTTATAGCTTATTGAGGCAGAGGGGTGCTGGGATCCAAAAAAGCTTGTTTGTTCGAGGCATGATGTCACACAGATATATCTCCTAACATTTCAAAAAGACAAAGAGGGACACAATATGGAGCTCCTACAAAAAAAGGACATTAGGACAGAAAAGAGGGACAGTGGGCTGTGGGTACAAAATAAGGACTGTCCTTCTATATTGGGATACTTGGGAGGTATGCAACCAACTGTCAGCCAATTCCTGGCTGTTTACAGGTGCGGTACTCAGTAAAACACTCCTTGTATCTGTACATTGGGTATATTTTCTTGAGTGACTTTTAGTAGCCACACACTGACGCCTAGCCGATAGAATATGGTTGTACTCTGCTAATAACTGTATCTATTCTATCTCAGGAACAAAGCATTCCGAGAATGATAACAGAGGATTCTGGGTAAGGCCAAATGTCTGTGCAGATAGATTGCAGCCCCACCTGGAATGGAGAACAGGCGTTAAAACGTTTACAAATGGGGCTTATTAACTGAATCTGACAAGGACATTTCTAATCCTAGGCCAACATAAAAGAGTTGGAAAATGAACCGATTTGGAGATTTACTTTCCTAATTCAACTGTTTTGGTGTAAAGCCACAGCTCCTTGTTATTTATCCATAATTCATGGTTAGTACATAACACTGCTGAATGTGTCTTTTATTAATTACTGCAAAATGCTAAGGAAAACTCAAAAAAATTATAGTTTGTATCCAATCTGGCATTTACTTTGATCTAAAAAACATTTAGTCACCTTAGGTTGCATCTTATGTTAAAAAACATTAATTTAAGGGACACTATAGTCACCCAGACCACTTCAGCTCAATGAAGTGGTCTGGGTGCAATATCCCTCAGGTTTTAACCCTTCAGATGCAAACATAGCAGTTTTAGAGAAACTGCTATGTTTACATTTGGGGTTAAGCCAGCCTCTAGTGGCTGTCTTCCGGACAGCCACTAGAGGCGCATCTGCAACGCTGGAGGCATATTATGCCTCAATCATGCAGAGCGTCCATAGGAAAGCATTGAGAAATGCTTTCCTATGGACACTTTGAGTGCGCGCGCCTTCAGATCCTGTGACGTCGGCAGGAGAGGAGAGGTCACCAGCGCTGGAATAAGGAATAAGGTAAGCTGCTGAAGGGGTTTTAACCCCTTCAGCGCCACAGGAGGGGACCTTGAGGGTGGGGGCACCCTCAGGGCACTATTGTGTCAGAAAAACTGCTTTGTTTTCCTGACACTATAGTGATCCTTTAAACTTGCTATAAAAACCAAAGAAAATAGTTATTTGTGCACTATCCTAAATCCCAATGCAAATATAGACAATGGAGGTTATTTAGTTACTCCAATGGCCATTAGATGTGAGCCCACCTGCCAACGTCAATGCAAACCTCCCAGGTGGGTCCTACACTAACAATTCACCTTGCTTCCTTCAGTTTCAGGGAAAGAAATCTCTATTGAGACAGAGAGGGGTATTTTTTTCAAACCCCTACATACTTATTAACTCTTAATAGGGAACACATGGGATGGGCGGCAGCATTGTAGCATAGCTCTGGGATACAAAAGTGAATACCATTACACAAAAATAAGTCCTGCGCTAAGACTCCCACTACTCCGACCATAGAACACACCAGCCCAATACATAAAATAAAATAGTTACTTGTGGACTTCCTAAATCCCTATGTACATTTAAATTACTGTAGATTTTTAGTATTGTTTCAATGGCGATTAGATTGTAAGCTCACCTGCCACGTCAAGGCAAACCTCTTAAGTGAGTCCTACACTAACAATTCACCTTGCTGCTTTAAGCTTTAGGTAACAATAAATATCTGATGAGACAGTTTACCTGAACTTGAAGGAAGCAAGGTGAATTGTTAGTGTAAGAGGTTTGCCTTGACGTGGCAGGTGAGCTTACAATCTAATGGCCATTACAGAGATTCTAAAAACCAACCACCAGTTATTTAAATGTATATTTGGGGGATTTGGGATAGTGCACATGTAACTTTTTTTCTTTTCATTTTATTGTATGTACTGGGGCTGATGTGTACTATGGTCGTTGCTGCCGCCCAGGAGTAGTGGGAGTCTGAACTCAGGACTCATTTTTTGTGTATTAACATATCAAACATGTTTACAATTAGTGTATGCTTAAAATGTTTCATAAAAGTAACGGGCCCATCATGAACAATTTAGTGGATTAAAAAGTCTTATATTTAATAGTATACGTCAGTGTGGATATAGTGCTAACTAAATTACCCTTTCAATTAAAGGAACACCACAGTGTTAGGAATACAAAGCTGCATTCCTAATACTATATAGTGTTTCTCTGTCCCAGATCCCTCCCCCACGTCACTGTCAAAGGGTTAAAAAAAAAAGTCATGATTCCCTTTTATTCCAGAAGTTTGGTCCTTAGGGCTCTGCCCCCTACTCTATTACAAGGAGGAATCGAATGCTCCTGCGTGCCGAGCTCCACGTGAGCTAGGCCTTCTGGTAGGATATAATTCAGTCTGCTCTCTTCTGGGGGATTTTATAGTGCTGGGTGTCCTCAGGCAAAACGAGAGGATGTCCAACGTTGTTTCACGGAGTTAAATTCCATAAAACAGCAGGAAGCGCCTCTAATGGCTGTCTGGTAGACAGCCACTAGAGGCAGTATTAGCTCTGTAATGTAAACATTGCAGTTTCTCATTGCAGGGACACTGCACCTAGACCGCTTCAATGAGATAAATTGATCGGGATGCCTATACTGTCCCTTTTAATGTGTGAAAACGTATTCTTTTATTATTACAGGCTTCTGATAGTAGAATATAGACTCAAAATTGCTCATTTTAATGGGGTGCAGGGGTGCCCCCACTCTTGGTCATAGGAGATACATTAAAAAACTAAAGGATTAAGATAAAATCTGAAATAAAAAGTGATTTGATTATAGCATGGATAATGCTGGGAAAATGATGTATTTCCAGGATCTTAAAGAGATACATTTATCTAGGAATCACGTGGGCCAAGGGCGAGAGCTATTCCAGCAGCAGACAGTGTACAGATAGAATAATTGAACAAATACAAAGCCACCTTTATATTACCTGTATTACCGAGACACTAACCATCACTATTTATCACAGCACAGTCCCCACTCAGAGCATGGAAACCGAAAAACGTAAACAGTACGGTGTGTCCAAAATGGCACATTTTTTCATCTCTTTAAAGGACCACTATAGGCACCCAGACCACTTCAGGTTAATGAAGTGGTCTGGGTGCCAGGTCCAGCTAGGGTTAACGCTTTTTTCTATAAACATAGCAGTTTCAGAGAAACTGCTATGTTTACAAATGGGTCAATCCAGCCTATAGTGGCTGCCTCATTGACAGCCGCTAGAGGACTTTCGCATTCAGCCGAAGAGGAGGAGAAGAGGAGGAGAAGAGGGAGGAGAGCTCCCCGCCCGGCGCTGGAGAAAGAGGTAAGTTTAACCCCTTCCTCTCCATCCAGCCCGGCGGGAGGGGGCACCCTCAGGGCACTATAGTGCCAGGAAAACGAGTATGCTTTCCTAGCACTATAGTGGTCCTTTACGATTATGTGAATTTGGATCTTAGATTATCCCTTGTAAACAAGATTACCATTTTGTTTTTAAAATGAATTCAGAGTCCCTTTTCTACACCCATACACAAACTCGGAACTGTAAGAAGAGATTCATAGAATAACAGGAGGAGAGAGATATGACAGTCCTTTCTATAGAGGGTATTATACTCTGGTCTATTAACAAGTTAACGTATTATTATTGGTATTTATACAGCACAGCACTTTACAATAAGAGGGGAATTTACCAAATGAGACAATATGAAATGTTACAGGAACAATAGGTAGTTGTGGACCCTGCTCAGATGAGCTTACAGTCTAGAGGAGGTGGGGTATAAAAACACAATAGGAAGGGTATTGAGGGAGACAGCAAATAGACATAGTGGGTAAGTAGCAGAACTGGAGGTGAGAGTGGAGTGTGGCCCTTTAGGAGAGAGCAAGAGCAAGGATTAAGAGATAAAAGTTACTCTTGGAGGCCGTACGCAATCCTGAAAAGATGGGTTTTGAGGGACTCTTTAAAGTATTGAAGACTAGGGGAGAGTCTGACAGGGGGAGGCAGGCTGTTGACCAAGTCATGTCATTTCAACATTAAATGGAGTAGACGTGATAAAGGAGTAACTCCCGAAAGCTCATCACAACAAATTCTGTCCAATAAAAAAGGTATTAAAAGAAACTGCAATACTTCATTATATTGCATCTACAATATAATATGACAACTGAAATGTCATGACCAACATTAAACAGTAGATGGCAGTATTGCCCTTCGCCCACACACACGTGGAGGGCTATGAGGGCTGGCACAGAATGTGGACGGCAGACAGTGCTTGCATATTGAGGTGTAATTACTCAAGAGTGGGAATGCCCGCTCGCTGCCGCGTGATTTACAGTTAAGGGAGGGCTTCACGTTGAGGCTAATACATGTCTTCTACAGGTGGTTCTACACAAGTCATAGGCACTACCTGCCCTGCATAGAGTGCCCATTAACCTCTTCATGGCCATGGTTAGGCTTTTATCATCTGCCACACAGGGGTTAAAAAATAAAATAAATCAGCCATGACTTTTCTCAGGTGTATATCAGAGGTGATGTGACCCTCAAATTACCTGTAATAAAATAAAAAAAACACTACTGTTTAAAACAATGTTATTATCAGACGTTGCACGCTTATAGAAGCAGTACCATTGTGATGTTAATCACATGACGTGACATTTTGATCGTGTAATTTTGAGGGCAATGTTTGTTTTGGTGGGTATGCTTCAAGCATCGAAAAAGTCTATAGA